TCCCCTATGACAAATTATCAAACTGTACAGTTCCTAAAGTGTCTCATGTGTGTACATGTGTGCTTTGTGCGTTGTAGTGAGATGTCTACCCTGCCCACAGCTGTTGCACTGACCACGCCCATTGGGGGTGGGTACAGGGGCAGAGGTGATGTGGAAGAACTAGGTTTGGGGTCGGGAATCTGGAGCTCTTTCTTGCATCCTAGATGGAGACAGAGAGCATCCCGAGGCATCCTTGGGACTGGAACTTGCTGGCGTTCATCTGTCTCTGTTGTAAGTTATTTCTCCCTGAATAAACAGCTATTCAGCCTGTTTCCCCGATTCTTATTTTTCCACGATAGTGTGTGCATGTGTTTGTGCACATGCGTGGGGAGGCCAGAGCTCAGCACTGGATATCTTCCTCAGCTGCCTTCTGACTTGTTCTTTAGACTTACTGAGTCCATAGGCGCTTCTCCTAAAACCTCAAGCACTAGACAATATACATTCCTTGGAAACTTTGGCTCTTTGTCATCTCATACCTGAAGATGTTCACCTGGCATGATTTCCTATGTTCAGGCTCTAGAAACCTACCTGGAAGTATGGACTGCAAAGCTGAAGGTATTCAGACTTCCCCACATCTGGTATTTCAGGGACTTTGGCACATATGAAGCATCTTATTAACTCAAGAGCCCAGAGATTGCTGTTAATAGAACCCCTGAGACCCTGAATCAGGGATGAATGAACACCGAGCCTTCAGAGCATGTTCGGTAGTGGCTATCACAACATATGTCTTATGAGTAGCCAGAGGAGAGTCAGACTCCAGGGTCCTCTTTCTAGAAAGAAGCAGGAAGCACTTTGGGCTGATGGTTGTCTTCTCAGATGGCTCTGAAGAGTCAGACTTTCATCATGCAGGAGCCTAGCTATAGAGCCAGAAGCCATGCCCTCCAATCTGAACTTCGTTGAGAACTGACTATATGACCTTACACTTTCAAATGTAGATTTTTCTTATCTGAAAACTGGAATAATGATACATTTGATTCATGCGTCCTCTCCCTAGGTTTACAGTCTGTTCATTTACTTCTTCTATAGCACATTCTTTATTATGCCTTGTGTTTGGGGGAGTAGCCTTAGTAACTTCTCAAGGGCAGATTCCAGCCCTCACTGTCCCTCTAGTCTTTGAAGCCAGCCTCAGCACCTGCATGCAAGAAGTTTATCCGCTGGGGTCCAAGCAGAAGGCAGAAAGCACACTTACTTGAACGGGAGGAATGTGATATCAGGAGTTATTAATATCTGGTGGAAGCAACTACCAAGATTGGACGAGAACACAAAGGTTACTCTTGAGCTGAGAAAGAAATGACCAAGGAAGGACAAACGTTGAAAGGGCTCTCTCTCCATGGCCAAGCTGTCATATGCTGACACCCCTGGAAAAGATGTGGCTGTTACCCCCAAGACAGCACAGGATTTCCTCAGCTGGGTGCCAGGCGCTGGACAACAGAAAGTTTCCTGGGACACAGGCAAGGTGAGGGTAGAAGCCAGGTGTGCCAAGAGAGTTGGCACACCCTCCCCATGCAAGGCTGAAATGCACACAGCCTGCATCAGGAGGGCCAGAGCAAAGTGGTTCCTGGGCCCGCTGCCAGGTCTGCAAGGTCAGTGAGTAACTGCCCTCCAGGCACACAGCAAGGCAGAACAGCATCTCTTCCCACAGACTGTACACACACCCTCCAGGATCCAAGCCGGACAGAAACTAACCTTTTTCCAGTAGTGTCCCTATATCGCCCCCTATTGGCAATGGTTTGGTAGTACATGCTCTAGAGGGGAAATACTCACAGGGCCCTTCCTATGCTTAGAACCAATAAACAATAATGTGATTTGTGGGTGATTTTTTTTTCCCTTAAGTTCTAATTGCAGTAAGGGAAATGGTTCAGTCAACAAAGTGCTTGCCACACAAGCAAGAAGACCCGGGTTTACATCCCCAGCACCCCCATAAAAGCCATGTGGGGTGGCACCCATTTGTAATCCCAGTATTAAGGTAGGATGGCAGCGATAGGAGGATCCCTGGAGCCCTGGCCAGCCAGGTTCAGTGACAGACCCTATGTCAGAAGATAATGTTGAAAGGCTGGGGAGATAGCTCTGCAGGTAAATAAATGCACCTGCTACACAAGCATGAGGACCTGAGTTCAAATCCCCAGCACTCAAGTAGTTAGGCATGGCCATGTGCTCCTGTAACTCCAACTGTGTGGGATCCTGGAGACAGGAGCATCACCAGGGCTTGTAGGCCACCAATAAGACCAAGAGTGATAGAGTTGGACATCCTCTGCAACACATGCATACCTTCACAACACACACATGCTAACTTAATCTTTAAAAACATAGTAAAGCCTGTCTCAAACAAAAAAAGTAAATTCTGATTGTTTGCTGGGCGTTGGTGGCACACACCTTTAGTCACAGCACTCGGGAGGCAGAGACAGGTAGATCTCTGTGAGTTCGAGTCCAGCCTGGTTTACAGGACTAGTTCCAGGACAGCCTCCAAAGCAATACAGAGAAACCCTTTCTCAACAACCCCCCCCCCAAAAAAAACATAGTAAAGTTAATAATGGAAGAAGACAGCTGTATCAACCTCTGTGTCTGTCTGTCTCTCTTTCTCTCTGAGTGTGTGTGTGTGTGTGTGTCTGAGAGAGAGAGAGAGAAAGAGAGAGAGAGATTGTATAATTAATAAGTTAAAGCCACACAGCTTACCAATGGCTCTCTTAACACCTGCCAACATCCCTTTCATTGGATACCATGTATTACACCAATAAATGTCGGACCTCTCCGCTTCTTTAGTAATTTACTGTCCAGAAAGCCCCATCCCCTCAGGAGTTCTATTCTGTCTTCCTTCCTCTTGGCTTACACTTGAGAAAGAGTGAGAGACTGGCTGTGACTCCCACAATCCTTCATTTCACAACGGATTTCTCTACTCAGACCTGAGTGCTCTGCCCACTGTCCGTTTCCGTTTCGTTTTAAGGCAAACCCACCTGTCCATCCCAGACAGTAGGAGCGCCCAGAAGCACGGGACTTCAGGAGGCAGTGGGAGAAACCTGGGTTAATCTAAAAAGCCAAGCTTTCTATGCCTTTGAGGAATGTGCTACAGGCATCTCAGGACAGGCTGGAGGTTCATGTCCCCTGACCAGTCAGACTCCTAACATACTAGAAGAGTAGGCAGCTGGGGGCGGGGTGGACTGGGGAGATGGCTCACTGGGTAAAATGCTTACCGGTCCCCAGCACCGATGTCAAAGGCTTGTGTATGGTGTCATGAAGTGCTGGGAGACAAAGGCAGGAGGATCCCAGCGGCTCATGGCCAGCCTGTCTAGCTCCAGATTCAGTTTCAAAAATAGGGGGAGAGTGAGAGAGGAACTCTAGCTTGTACACTTCATGAAAGGCCACTTGCACACACACACACACACACACACACACACACACACACACAAAAGAGGAAGAAGGAAAGAAAAGGGATGGACGATAGAGCAAACAAATGGCCGGCTTGTCAGGTAGTCTCCAGGATGACCTCTGGACTAACATGTTCAGGTGAAGATTCCTCACACACTGTGCCTCTAAGGGGTGCGTTAATAGCAGCAATTGTGCATCAGGACAATGTTGGTAGCCATCTGCCATTCTTGTTCTTACAAAGTGCCCCACCCCATCCGCTGGGAGATGGAATCCGTGGTAACGGATGAGCCCCTGCAAGGAGGTGGGTGGGGTGCAAAGTCGTCCTCCAAGGACAAAGTGGCTTTCCAAACCTAATCCTCCCACTGCCCTTCCGAAGCCGCCTCATCACTTCAGACCAAACTATGGGTAGGACTGTGTGGGCAGGCGTGCGCGCATGCGTGCGTGTGTGGTGTTCTAGGCCAAAAGGACCTAACCACACTGTACCCTGTTCACATACCAATGAAATCACACTCTTAAGTGATCGTAAAAATATACACTTGAGTTGGGAGTGTGGCTCGGTTAGTAGAGAGCTTGCTTAGTGTTCATGAGGCCCTGGGCTCCGTCTAAGAACCTCATAAGGCCAGGCACGGTGATGCAAGCCGGTATTCTCAATACTGGGAAGGTGGAAGCAGGAGGGTCAGGAACTCAAGGGTGTATTTGGAAGCCCAAGCAACAGTGAAACCCTGTCTTGAGAAAGAAAACAAAATGCTGTGTGCGGTGGCGCACCCCTTTAGTCCTAGCACTTGGGAGCTCAAGGCCAGCCTGGTCTACAGAGTGAATTCTGGGACAGCCAGGGCTGTACAAAGAAGTCCTGACTTTAAAAGGAAGGAGGGAGGGACTCAGGGAGGAAGGAAGATGTCTAACCCTGGGCAAAGAAAAAGATTTGTGGGTCTCTCTCTCTTCTCTCTCTCTCTCTGATTATCTGTTTTCTGCAATGAGAGTGTATTTGTGAATTAAATACATAAAAATGAAAAGTTGATGAGAGCTGGTGAGATGGCTCCCAAGGTAAAGGCACTTGCTGCCAGGCCTGACAGCCCGCATCAGATCCCCAGAACCCATGTAGTGGGAAGAGAGCCCACTCCAGCAGCTTGTCCTCCGACCTCTACATGGGTACCATGGCATGCACACGCACACAGATAACGAAGGAACGAAAGGAACGAAAAGGCACACATTTTTCTCCTCCTAATCGGGCTGTGTCGCCGCTTTTTGTCTCCAGGCTCACCACACCCTCCCAGCCTCTGCTCAGATGAGCTGCCAAAACTCAGCAGTCTCCAGGTTTTTTGGAAGAGATTTTTGGGAAAGATTTACTTCCTCATTCTTGAACTTCTAAAAACAGCCCACTTTTTCATCTGCCCCTCAGCATGCGATGACAGATGCTACACCTGCCTCTGACGTGACGAAACCTAAGTGAGGAATAAAAGCCTGCCATGACTCTCGCACATTCTGTGGCAGGCAAAGCTAGGGGTGTGGGGCCATGGGAAGATGCATGGATATCCTAGCCACGGGCACTCAGCAGGATTTCATCCCCTGACCTTTGATGTGTTGCTCTGCCCCTTCAGATTTTTGACAATGAAGCCAAAGACTTGGAGAGAGAAGTGTGCTTTATCGACATAGCCTGTGATGAAATTCCAGAACGCTACTACAAAGAATCTGAGGTGAGTGATCAAAATGCAAGAATTATATGTCCGTCCATCCATCCATCCATTCATTCATTCATTCATTCATTCATTCACTTATTCATTCCACAGTGATTTATGAGGCACTTCCTATACTAGGACCCTTCCATCAGTCTTTATGTTCATTTGGTTTACTCCTAACATCTCACTGGATTCTTTAAGATTGATTTTTTTTTTTTTTTAAATTTAATGTATGTAGGTATTTTCTGTCCACCAAATGCATGCACTGCCTCCAGAGGCCAAAAGTGGGCATTAGATCGCCTGGAGCTGTTGTTACTGATGGTTGTGAGCTGCCGTGGGAGTGCTGGAAATTGTACCCAGGTCCTCTGGAAGATCATCCAGCAGCACTCTTAACCACTGAACCGTCTCTCCAGCCATCTCTGGGTTCTTTAATGCAAGCCTCAGAATGAAGCCCCCGAGCCTATCACTAAATCCCCGCTGCCTCTCCCACTCTGTCACCATCCCACTTCACATGGGGCTCCCTGGGGCCAAGCATTCAGCACATTGGCTTTTCTGAACTCAGCAGCCTGTCTGTGTGAGGACACAGACAGCATTTCATTTCTGTCTTTGGAAGTTAACATAAAGAAAATCCTCAATCAAGCCTCAGAACTTTGATGGCTCATGTTGGCCCAGAAACCATCCTCTCAAAATAGCAGGCACCTTCCTGAGGGTGTCTCTTCTTAGCTGAAAATACATGAACCAGAACATCTCCCCCTCTGGCTTGTCCCCTGCCAGAATCTGCCCTCTGCTTTGCCTCTCCCCCTTTATGTCACTGTTGATGCCAGTCATCGTTTATATCCTGTTAGGATCTTATTAATGGCTCCTGATGGAACTTGAGTGACCTGCTTATAAACAGTGTCCCAGCCTGGGATGACCACAGACGAAGAGCTATTTTTATTGTTTAGCTACACGCAGCCAATCATGGGGCATTTAGAATTAAGGGGCTCAGACTTGTCCTTGAGCTACAACACATGGGCCTTGAAGCTCTTCCCTCAGATTCATGAAGGCTGATTGAAAATGCCATGCATAAATCCATTGAAAGTAAATTCTGGGCTACTGAGATGGTTGTGCAGTTAAAGGTAGCTTGCAGCCAAGCCTTGATTCCCTGAGTTCAGTCCCTGGGACCCACCTGGTGGAAAGAGTACAAACATACTCCCACAAGTTGTCCTCTGATCTTCATTCACACACTGTGTACACACATGCATGCACGCACGCACACACACAGTAAATAATAAAATAAGTACATAAAGAAATGTTTGAAACGTTTTAAACATGAGTTCCAGTAGGTTACAAACCATACTGCCTTGTGAATTAGATCTTTCCCTCCCTATTGGGGAGCTTGTTTGGCTAGAAAAGTCTTACTTGGTTTGAGCAAAGACCCACTTGATGCGATACAGGCTGGAGTTAATGGACTTTGGTCCCTCAAGGCTGGGGAAAGGCTGGTTTGAATCACTCTGTGTCATGCACATTCATCCAAAGGCTAAGTATATTGTTGTCATCAACTTTTTTTTTTTAGACTCCTCAGCCAGTCATGCCTCTGTGCTTTAAGAAAAACAATGTTGGAACTGGAAAGATGGCTCAGCAATTCCAGAGGACAGGGGTTCTACTCCATTACCCACATGTGGGGGCTAACCATCATCTGTAACTTTAGTTACAGATCTGACACCCTTTTCCGGCCTCTGCACTCACTGCCTGCACATAATGTACATGCAGAATACATGCAAACAAAACACCCAAACATGTAAAATAAATCAGTCTCAATATTTTTTTTTTTTTTTTTGTTTTGTTTTTCAAGACAAAATACAGGGCTTCTCTATGGCTTTGGAGGCTGTCCTGGAACTCACTCTGTATACCAGGCTGGCCTCGAACTCACAGAGATCCTCCTGCCTCTGCCTCCCAAGTGCTGGGATTAAAGTTGTGTACAACCAATGCCCAGCCCAAAAAACAGTTTTAAAGAATATAAAACTTAAGTGTCCAGATGTGTTTGTGTATGCTTGAGAGGTTGAGGCAGGAGGAGTTGGAGACAGCCTGGGAATTATAAAATGACCTTGTCCCAATAACACCTAGAAGGGGCAGGTGTGGGCGGGAGGGGGTGGCAGAAGGGAATCAGATTTGTGGGGGGGGGCAGTGAATAAATGAAATGAAAGGGAAATTTTTAGGGTTTTGGTCTTTTGGTTGTGAGCCTAGCCTTTAACAGCTGAGCCATCTCTCCAGCCTGTTTTGTTAGGTTTGTTTGTTTGTTTGTTTGTTTGTTTGTTTGTTTTGTGTGTGTCATATTGCACATGCCACAGAACACATGTAGAAGGCAAGGAAAACCTTTTTGTCTCTTTCCTTTTGTTTTCTTGAGACAAGGTCTTAGCCCGGGCTTTTATTATAGATTAGTATGTATGTGTACGTGTTTGTGTGTGTTGGAGACCGAGGTTGAGATCTAGTATCTTCCTCAATCCCTCTTGCCCTGGTCTTATTTTTAAGATTCATTTCTGTCACATTTTTAAAGTGTGTGTGTGTGTGTGTGTGTGTGTGTGTGTGTGTGTGTGTGTGTGTGTATGTGTGTGTAAGTGACTGTGGAGTCCAGAAGAAAGCGTCAGAGCTGGAGTTGGAGTTGCAGATGTATATAAGCCTACTGAACCCCGGTCTTCTGGAAGTGTATGTAACCACTGAGCCACCTCCCCAGCCCTCTGCCTTGATCTCTCACTGAACCTGGCGCTCACTGATTGGCTGGACTAGCTGGCGCTCACTGATTGGCTGGACTAGCTGTCCACCAAGTCCTTTTGTCTTCACCCTCTCAGACTGTGGTTCCAGGCATGAACTCTCTTCTACATGGGTGCTGAGGGTTCAAACTCGGGTCCTCCCATTTGCATGGCAAGGACTTTACCAGCTGAGCCATCTCACCAGCCCCTGAGCCTCCTTCAAAGCTCAGGTCAAACATGACTTCCCTTCGGTAGAGCTTTTCCTGAGGACAGCCTCCCCTTCCCAAAAGAGAACTCCTCTCTAGCCTGTGACTTCCAGGCCATGCTACGTGCTGCTGATGGTTTTAGGTCGTGCTAGCCCATGCTAGCTCATTGTCACACATTTTTCATAAGGGTGAGAGCTCACTTCTTCGTCCTCGTACTTCACGAGCTACTTTAACACCAGCCAGCTCTGGCTTCGATGCGATGCTAACCCGACAGCTGTTGGAGGAGTGAGTGACGGCCCAGGGCTTTGTTTTCCCTTCCAGCAGCAGTAATTTCCGAGCAAGTGCCCTCAAAGAGAATGGAGCTGTCACCGTTAAGCTAGCAGTTGTGAATCAGGGTTCTTTTTCCTTCACCTGACTGAGACTTGCTGCCTTGTGGGCTTTTTCTTCTGTTCATCCTTGCAGCCTCATAGGAAAGGATGCATGCAGACCGCAGAGTGCCAGCTGGCGGGAGGTCTCTTTGGTTTGGGAGTTCGGGGTGCTTTAGGAGGGGCCTTAGTTCTGATGCTGATAAATCCAGACCAGGTTTTCCTGGAGTGTGCCTCTCCACCAGGACACTGTCCCACACACTGTCACCCAGGCCAAAGGGTAGGATCAAAGTTTCCTTTCTCTTTTCCCACTTCCCTGGGAGCCCCTGAACCACACAACCAGGAGTGTGTCTCTCATCAAGGTGACCAGACGAGCTGGGACTTTTCCATTGGCTCCTCCTTCCTGGCAGCCCTCTCATCACCACTAACCAGGGATTCAAAGGGGCACATTAGGGACTCAGGAGCAGCTGATGGCCCAGCCTAAGGCTCAATTCTCATCTTGCAGAGCCCCTGTCTCCTCCCAAACCCACAGCCTGAGCAGCAGCTCCCAAACTTCCTGAACTGGAGCTTCATTCTTTTTCAACTTTGTGTATTGATGTATTTGTACATGCGTGCATGTCACGTGTGTGCAGGGCATCAGATCCCTTAGAGCGAGAGTGGCAAGCAGCTACGAGCCACCTGAAGTGGATGCCAAGCTGCCAGTGCTCATAACCACTGAGCCATCCTTCCAGCCCCTCAATCAGAAGGTCCTGAAGAACAGTGCCATTGTATTTTCTTTTTAATCAGAGCAGAGAGATGGCTCCATGGGTAAAGTGTTCCTCTGCAAGCATGAGGATCCCCAGAACCCAATAAAAGCAACGTTCCTGTGACATACGTCTGTAACCACAGTGCCGGGAGCAGAGGCAGGCAGATCCCCAGAACTCACTGGCTAGCCAGGAGAGACAATCAGTGAGCACCAAGTTCAGTAAGGTATAGTCCACCTGCACACACGTGTCTACACACACACACACACACACACACACACACACACACACAGTGTGGATTTGGAGGGTCAGAGAGAACACCTCTATTAAGCCTCACAGACACAGAGACACAGCTATCTATGGCATTCAGAAAGTTCTCTGTGCCAAGTCACATGCCCAGGCCTGCCCGAGCCAGCAAACCAGCAGAGATGGCGAAGATGCGCTCGCTCTATGTAGTATGCACTCGCCAGGAGGTTGATGCATGGCTTCTTGCTTCTGCCAAGATTTCCACCCTGACTCTCCGAGGCTCTGCCAAGATTCCAAGGTGAAGATCCCAGTGGAGGGGAAGGGTCTGCGCAGAGGACAAAGCTGAGGTGACCATTCCAGGGGGACAAGAACCAAACCTCGTCTGCAGCCTGCAGAACTGGTGCCCCCCCTCCCCCGCCCGGGGCAGTCTTAACATTCAAGTCCACAGAGATCTCATGTGAGGCAGATAGTGTTGTCTCGTGGTGCGCCGGGTTCTCTTGCCTAATCATTGAGTGCGTTGGTTCATAGGCTTGACTTCCATGATGACTCTGCCCAGGGAACACAGTACATGCATTGGCCTCCTCATTGCTGGCCCTGCAGCGCCAGCCCTTCCTACAGTGGAAGGCATGTCTTTTAAATTTTTAGATATGCTTCCAATACAAAGGGGCGGGGGGGGGGGGAATAAATGGAATTTCCTAGTCAAGAATGTGGAGGATGACCTGGGCATGG